TTTAATGCGAAACCAACATAAAGGAGGTTCCAATCAAGTTATAGATTGTTAACATGATATTAATAAAAATCAAAAGGAAAATGATGAGAAAAAAATCTAAAAATTTAAAACAAAGAAAAACCAATCGAAAAAAATATTATCATAATTGAATTTTTGCTTTATTATTTTTTTTGTCAAAAAAATACTATTTTTGTTTTTTTAAAAAATCAAGTGATTAACTAGAACAAAAACACGTTGAAATATGTTAATTTTTTGTCATTATTTTTATCAAAATAATATTATTTTTATTTATTGCATAATAAAAAATTTAATCAACTTTGATATTCCCGATAAAAATGCACTTTTAAGTATTAACCAGCTATAATTTTTGGACGCGAACCAAGTCCGATAGAGCTTTTTTTGGAAACGCACGTGTGGATTGATGACTGCCAAAAAGAGATGCAATAACTCGAGGATAACTAAGCACAACACTTTATAGTATATTATTTTCAACTATTTTTTTCTTAAATTATTATTTTTTTGATTTTACCAACCTTTTTGTTTCTAGGATACATATAACACCGGGTTGAAGGAGAGATACGGTGATGATCCTTCAACACATTTAGATCGCAATCTAGATTTATGATTAGAGGTAGGATCGTTTAGGGGACTCGATAGAAATCAAGTGTATAGTCTCTTTAAATCTACAATTGAGTTCCTATGGACAACATGTAGTGTTTTAACTATTTGATGCTCGTAATCAGTTTTGAGTACTCAAACTCTAGAGTTCGAAGCGATTTTAGACTAGCGAGGTAAAGATCAAATGACCCATCTTCTGCTGATTATGAATAACTCAATCCTTAGACGATCAAACTCTATCAATTAGTAATGAAGATGAGATCATAGATTTTTAATATTTTTTCTTAGCACTTTTGTAAAACTTGTCTGTTTTCAATATAGTCATTCAATTATAATTTTTCACATAATTATTTTTTTCAATTTATTCCTTATTCTTTTGATTTTTCATTTATTTCCTTCATCTTTTTATAAAAAATTTATAGTTTTTTAATTTTATTCTTCAATCCAAGTTTATGGTATATTATTTTTTTTTTAATTTGGTCCTTATTTTTTTTCTTTTTGCTAAAGATTTTTTTTTTTCCAGTTTAACCTTTCAATTGAAAATTTTTAGTTGACATTTAATTTATTTTTACTTTAATTTTCACCCTCATTTTTTTTTATAGATTATTTTAAGTAATGTTTTTTTTTTAATTTTATCTTATAACATTTGAGTTGATAAAGATTAAACTTTGTAGCTTTTTTATGTACGATATTTTCAATCTAATAATCAGGTGACACATCTAAAATGTTATAGTTCAACTTCTTTTTTTACTTATTTTGTTTTTGATTTGATTATTCACATTGATATATATATAAATTATTTTAATTTTAATAAGAATTATATATATGTATATAATTCTTATTAAAATTAAAATAATTTATTAAATATTAATTAAATATATTCAATATGTACTTTAACAGTGAGGAAAAAAAAGATAATATTATTAAAATCACACTACTGAAAAAATTGCAGAAAAAATACCGAATATAGAAGAATAAAAGTGATTGGTTCGACCACTCATCAATCATTTATTAGTAAACTAATTTACTAGCTCACCTAGCCGATTCAATCATCTTTTTGGAGAATCGAATGTATTTGGGTCCCGTTCCTTAGCTCTCGGTCCGACATCTGGCCGTCTGGGGCTAGTTCTTAATTAATTCCATTTAATGAGGGTACTATTGAGTAAAATCTGAAAAGTTTAGGCCTCATTACTTTAACTTTGAACCTACAGGGACTCAACTGAAAATTACACATAGTTTAGGCACTGGTTTGTAGTTTACTTTTTTCCTTCTTGGAGAAAGAAAGTATAAATGCAATCGAGAAATTCAATTTCGGAAGAGAGAGTTATTTTCCTCGGACAACAATGGCTTCCTTTGGGACAAACTGAAATCCCCTTTACGTACCATTCAAAGTAATACTTACTGATTCAAGAAAATGGCAGTGTCAGCTCATTCGCTACTAAAATCAATGCTTCTCCTCAGACTTCCAATCACAACCAACACCATTGTTCCTCCCCGCGTATCTCGTCCATCTTCTTCTCCTTTAAATTTGATCTCTTGCCATTATCTCAACGCTTCTAACAGAACCAAATCAAGACATTTTCACTCACCAACCTTGTACACAAGAACTGCAGAAACCCCAAAAAAACACTTAATTTGCTTCAATTATAACACTTCTGCAAGTCATGGTAAGGGTACAAACTACTTAGAATTGACAGATGATGAACTAATGAGACAGTGTGAGATGGACACGTTCAAGGCCTCAGGCCCAGGTGGTCAGCACCGTAACAAGCGTGAGTCTGCTGTCCGTCTCAAGCACCTCCCTACTGGGATTATTGCTCAGGTCACCACTAGCTTTACTTGCTTCATTTTCTGCCAAAACTGTACCATGCCGAATATGCATATAAAGTGTTTGTTGTTTTGTCTAAGTGGTTTTTATTTGGTTCTTGTTCTTTTTACGTATGTAGGCTGTTGAGGACCGATCACAGCATATGAATCGTGCTTCGGCTTTGAAACGCCTGCGCGCTCTATTAGCTATCAGAGGTAGATACTTTTAAGTGCCTTTTGATTCTTTTTGTACTCTTTTTTATTGCTGCTTGAGTGAAGATGGACAAAAGTGTATGTTTTGTTTTGCTTGTTCAGATGCTCCTTATTATTATTATTATTATTATTATTATTATTATTATTATTATTATTATTATTATTATTATTATTATTATTATTATTATTATTATTATTATTATTATTATTATTATTATTATTATTATTATTATTATTATTATTATTTTGGTAGTTAGGAACAGTTTGGATATTGATTCGTATTCACCTCCATTGGAACTGCTTCAAATTCTTCCTCTTAAATCAACAATCAGAGGATCAGATTGTGGTCCACAAATTGGACCCAAGAATCCTAAATTTATCTTGGTAATAAAGTTGTTTTTCCTTCTAAAAGTTACATGTATTTCTATCCATTTTGAAGGGTTGGAAAACTTATTGCAAGTTTTATTCCTTAATATAGGGAATGCAAGCGTTGCTGGATCTAATCTTTGCTGTTGATGGCTCTATATCGGAAGCAGGGAAATTACTAGGGTACTTAGGAATGAGCTTTTCTATCCTATATTCTTTTTCTTTTTTTTCCTATTCTTAAAACAGACTGTAAGCCTTAAAAACTGAAATTTGATTATCTTCTAATGCTAGCCTAGAGGCTCTAGATACCATGATGCATTCTCGACTAGATTTTTAGTGGTTCATTTCTCATATCTGCAGAAATTAAGAATTATTTTTCACTGGTCCAAAAAATGTATCATTTCCTTTTAAACCATCATTTGTTGTATTATGCATTCTAGTTTTTCTTGATCAGGGAAAACTTTCATGCTAGTCAGGCTTAGTTCAAGTAAACTTGATTCTTGATTATATATGGTGACTGACTAGGTTAGAACAATCCTGCTCTCATGATAGTCTCTGCTGAATGTTGCAGGTTAAGCACAGGGGCTCTGTCACGTTTGATACTATCAGATGATTCTCTTAGGATGGCAGTGAATGATTTGAGGAATTCGAAGGTATAGTTACTAATTATTATTGCTAGAGTTATTGCAATTGGTAACATACTAGGTCATAGCAATTACTATTTCCAGCAGAAGAAATGGATAAATCTTAATTACAAATGCATGCTAGATCTTAGATGAGAACAGTTTTGACACTTTGCTTTGTTCAAGATATCCATGTCTTTGTAGTAGCTTGGTTTAAACTTTCTTTTCTGAGCTCATAGAGATGTATCATTTTGATGAGCAAATAAACTGATAATCTCCATTTTTGAGCTCATAAAAAACTAGGCTTCTTCACCTTGTTTTAGCCAAATACAACCTCTTAATGAGCTTATGCATTTCTTTATAATTTGTATTTTCTTATCAACTCATACACAGTGGAGCTTTATATTTTTTATGTCTGGCACTTAATGGAGACAGGAAAGGAACTAAAACATTCATAACTTGATTACAGAACATTTCAACCTCCACATCTCTTGATATCTGTAGCATCAGCTTAGGTTTTTGGTCCAACTTGTATGTGTCAAAATAAAAACAAAATAAAGTTAAAGAAAAGAAGAAAAACATATAAAAATGATTTATTGTCAGCATTCCTGAATGTGGCATGATGAAAACTTTTATGAGAACATCCACTTTCCATGTCTTGGCTTGTATTGGCACCAACACATTCATAAATTTATTACATAACTCTTCTGCCTCCAGACACAACTTGATCTGAAGCATCAGCTTAGGTTTTTTGTTTTAAACTGCCCCTGTTAAAATAAAAATAAAATGAAGCGGTGCAAAGGTGAAAGATCTATAAAAATGGCATCACATTAAGTTTCCCGAAACCTTCTCTTTTCATGCATCAGCCCATCTAGTTGATATGATGACCTGGATCACTTGGTGATATATGAAGAGAAACCAGACACATTTGCCATTGACTTGATTGAAAAGTTAAAACTAAGTAAAATGATCTCTGATAAGAATATTACCTGTTAAGTGTTATACCAAGGAAGTTGCTTTTCCATGTCAGTTAGCCCTCTCTATAGCCACCGTGTCAAAAATTCCAGACCTTAAAGCATCCCATGAGAACTGAGGGTAAAATATAATTTTTCTTTTTTCCCCTCTGAATGAGATCAGTAAAAGAAGTAAAATGCAAAAGCTGAAAACAGTCATTTCTTCACATTTTTAGGTAAAATTTGTTCTCTCTGACATCAGTAGGAATTTGCTTGACCAGAATAGAAACACAAAATTTCCTTCATGTTGTTGAATTTTTTATGCCATGTGTGTAAATGCTGTATTTTATGTAGTTTGAGCATCTTTCACATGCTTTTTAACTTTTTTTTTTCTAAATTTATCTATTATGAGCTATCAATAAAAAATCTGACCTTTTATGAGACTTTTCCAGGGTTTAAAGCCTCTAAGGTAGGGCTTTCCAGAGGCTACTTACATTCAGGTATAACAATTTCTTGATTTCTTCTTGTTTTTTAAAAGCACCGTTTGTTTTATTTACAGTGACTATGCACGGAATGTCATTAATTAAAATAGCACAGCAGTTTGCATAGTCATGACATCATGCAGTGACAGAAAATATGAGATGGCAGAATGTTTTACCCAGAGGAACCACGGATTTATATGCGTTGTTGTAATGCTTTTATTTACTGATTAATTTCTCAAATTTATCCAGATCCATGTATTGCTATTTAATGAATTTATCAACATGCTCTCGGGGGCCTTTTCTTGTGGAGTTGCACTAGAGTACAAAACTAGGAGTTTAAGATTCGTGACTTGTACTGTCTGGAATCACTTTTGTGGTGTCTAGAGTAAAACATGGGAATAGGTTCGACAGGAATCATTTTTTTGCTTTAGTTGATTGGCCTCCCTTCACAAATGTGGTTCAATAATTGTTTTCCCTTTCTTTGAAGAGTTCAGCGGCCCTTGTAGTGAAATGCTGTGTCTACCACACACTCTGATTGTAGTTTTTGAATATGTTTTGCCTATTGATTTTTATTTTATTTTTTCTTGCTGAGGTTAGCAAAGCACAAGTGTGGGAGGATAGAATGAAAACAACAGAAAAGACAATGAGTTGAAAGAAAAATTTCATGTCGTGATAATCCCATTGCCTATCTGTTGGTGATTCAACTAGTTTTGACAATAATGACGTTAGATAGTGTATTAAACTTAATGTTTTTATTGGAGTGCATTTTTAACATGCGGAAGTCTAGACTGCTGAAAATAGTGTTTAGATCACTGGATTTGAATAAAACAATAAACAAGAGTTAACACATTTACATCTAATGGCATCTGCATTTGCCGTTGGTGGCATTATAGCAAACCCTTTTATCATGAGTGCAAGCGTCCAATTTCAGGGCTGTTGGCATTGTGTGCAGACCTTTCATCTGCTCCAGGGTGCATGCATGGATAATGAGATCGGACAATTTCAACAATCATAATTGTCGAGTGAAATTCTCGTTTTTGGTACAAGTAAGCTTAGCACATCGTCATATCTGTCTTTATTCATAATAAAAATATTGAGCATTGACCCTTGTAGTCGGGCTTGTTCTATAATTATTCGCTTTGTATCTTGTACTTGCTAGCCTGGAAATGTATTCTCACAAGTTGGTTTTGACCCCAGACAATATCCAACTTGAGTTGGGGAATATAGAGGATAAAAAAGAATCGTTTCATTCCCAAATACAACCTGTCAATTCGCCCTGTGATGAAGGTTTTCAGAATATAGAAATGCATGATATTTTTTGATTTGATGGAATATGAATGTATGAAACTGCTGTTAGAGATCTATTCAATCATTTATCCACGCAATTCAATTTCTCCACACAATTCAATGTCTCCAAATCGGCCACTAGTGACAGAATAACCAGGCTAGAGAGTAGGCTTAGTTATCCTTCCACCTTGACATGTGTCGACATGATGAAATTTGTTTTGTTTGATGTGATGGTCCTCATCTTTTTTTCCATAATTAATTGGGATTGAGGAGGCTATCAGTCTCGTGTTTTACAGTGAAGATTGCTTTCATTTTTCAAATTCCCATCCCACTTCTCTCTTAATTTGAACTTCAGAATTGCACATGAAACCCCAAGTTTGAACTTTTGAGGTGTCCGCTGAGAGACTATTTGCTGTCACGATTTAGCCATGGCTGAAACATCTTGAACCATTACTAAATATGACAAGGCATTTCACCCCGCAATATCTTATACGGGTCATGTTTTGCCCCTTGAGTGGCAGCTGAATGGAAATTGAAAGTTGTATCATAATGAATGAAGAACCTGTGGATGTGAAAGGAGAAGATATCATAACCAAAAGCCAAAAAAAAAAAAAAAACAGAGAGAGAGAAGATATTCAAGGTAAAAAATGCTTGGTATATTATGTTGTTGCCAATAGGAAGAAAGCTTGATGCGGGAGAATCCTATTCCTAAGGAATGAGGTTCTTTCTCCCACCACTACAAGAAACCTTTTTGCCCGTTGACTCTTTTAACATGTAGCAGTTTACTTGTTTATATCCACACTCCCAAAAGTTGAAAAGAAGGAAAGGAAGGCCTTGTAAAGCACTCCTTGTTTCGGTTTTCAAATTCACAACAAGTTCACCTGGAAAAGCTAAATATTAATCAACACTAGTGATTGATTTGAGTTTACAGGGAGAGAATCCAAGGCCTTTAGTGGGATGGCAAATGACCGCATTTTTCCTGTTTTCTTCCATATCATTAATTAGAGTCAAACATGGGGCTGCGATACATAATCCCATAAAGTTATGAAAAACAAAGATTTATGTAAATTCTATCTGTACTTGTATGTTTCTCATGTCCAGTACAAATCATTCGCATGTTCATCAAATTCATTGTTCAACTAGTGGGACCCTTTTCAAGAGATATTTGAGATCAGAGCAAAGCAATATAAGATAATCCCAAGCACTTAATATCCTCTTGCTTGCAGTACTCGCAGGCATGTGATTGATCACTCGGTCTGGCAAATATTTGTCGAGGATAAGCTAGTATCATGGTAGATTTGCGAGAATTTGTTCCTGTTGACTTGTGTATGTGAAATACTTGGTACCCTATACAGCAATATAATAGTAACAAAGCATGCAAACTGTGATTTAAATTTCTTGGCAGAACATTGTGGCCCATAAGGTCTCTTTTGTTACTGGGAAACTTTTTTAAAGGCATAACTTGGCTTGTTTTAAAATCAAGATATGATTCCCCATTGCCTAATTCTTCAACTTCCCTCCCCACACTCTCCCTTTTATAAACGCTTTGTTCTAGTGAAACACATCTACACATTTTCATACAAATTCAAAGAAAATGGGGTTGGACATACAAGGCAAGCTCCGAATAGCTCTTGGCGCAGTGAAGGATCATGCATCAATTGGGAAAGCCATGATCTACAGTCATCACGAAAGGAAGGATTTTTCCAGCATAGAGGTCGCAGTTGTGCGTGCAACTGGCCATGATAGTGGTTCCATTGACGACAAACACATGCATGAGATCCTCTTCTTGGTCTCAAACTCTCCCGGATCCATCCACTTTCTTGCCGAGAGGATTTCTTGCCGCCTTGGCAAGACCAGAGACAACCTGGTTGCCCTCAAGACACTCTCTCTAATTCATCGACTCCTTCGTGGAGGCAATCGATGCTTCGAGCAGCAGCTGCGTAATGCGCATGCTTCAGGCCATCTCCAAATAAGTACTCGCTGCTTCCTAAGGAACATCTCAGATCCTTCCGTGAGCTTCATACACAAATATGCAGCTTATCTAGAGGAAAGAATAGGGTGGGTCATCAATCAAGCAGGGAAGCTTGAACCTGTTATGTCCCAAGGTGATCTGGAATCTCGATGCTATGATGAAAAGTCCATCGATTTGGTGTTCAGAAAATTACCAAAATGTCAAGTGTTTATAGATAGAGTTTTAGATTGTCCGCCGTTCAATATTTCGCCTTTAGATAATCTTGCTCAAGCGGCTATGAGCAACACCTTGAAAGAGAGCTTCCAAGTTTACAAGACATACAGTGAAGGTGTAGCAGCTCTTGTTAATATGTTCTTTGATTTAACAAGGGCAGCTAGAGCCTTGGCCTGTCAAATACTAAGGAGGGCTTCTCAGCAAAGCCAGGAGCTTCATAATTTGTTTGAGAATTGCAAACGAATTATCGAAAACAAGAACTTGGACTATCCAGTGGTACAAATCATCACCATGGATCATCTTATGGCACTGGAGCAGTTTTCGACCTATATTGCAACTTCCCGCAGCTCGCCAGTCCTGAACAAGAATGGTTCAACACCTCCCATTTTGGATTGCATAACAAAGTCAGAAGGTGATGAGAAGGATGCGGGTAATTTTAGCTGGTCACCAACTCTTTTCTCTTGCACATTGGAGACTAAAATAAGCAAGGTGTGGGTGGTTTTTGAAGATTAATAATCATGAAACTTCATACGCCCTTCGTTTGCGGCACACGGTCAGTGATGATCTTTCTGCCAACCCAATATCTGGGAAATTGTGAATAAAAAGTAATGTATCACAGAATGAACATGGTAGGCCTTTCATTCTAAACCATTTACAAGCGAACCTTTCAAAAGTATGAGTTAGCTTGGATCAAGAAATCCATTGTTTGTAATTTTGGACTCATGATGTTGTTGATTCTTGATGTTGGATCTTCAATGGGAGTCAATTGTTTGTTTTGCAAGGAAGAAAACTTGAACGTGGACGTGATGTAATCACAAGAACAACCATTATTGTACTATCTTCATCTTGTCTGTGAGCGATTAAGTGTAGAAGTGAATACACTTATAGGAAAAATGATTAGGGCTATTTTCTGGAAGAATTAAGTGTTACAATTAATGTATAAATAAACTAGTAAACTACTCCTGATTCAGTAAAGTAAGTTCATTAGATAAAAGCTGCTAGTGATCTGATCTATGAACACTACTATATATACCTCTCCCTTAGGCTCCATTCCTTCATCTCATTCAGCTCTGGTAATTATTAGCCAATGCATGAGACAGACTTCTGTTGACTAGCTTGATAGATGATTGACACATGAACCAACTTAATCAACAAGCTTTTGTCATGATTGCAGTGTCGATACCATTCGTTTAAACTAGTAGTATTTCGATATGTAGCAGAAACTAAGTTAGTTTCCAGGAGCAAAGCATGGATACTATAACAGGTAACTTGGATTTTTTGAGACAATCCCTGCAGCTATTCCACTTTCCCCTCATCCTAAGTGCAGAACTGGGGTTGGCTTGAGAAGTGATTGGAGATTATTGGTGGGTTTCACGGTTCGTATTTGAGGACGAGGGAGTGTTGTGTTCTTGACAATCTCGAGGGCAAATGGGGCGTTCCGAGGACAAGATAGAATAATGCCTCGAGGGCGAATGCGGTGCTCGAGGACAAGAAGGAATAATACCTTGAGGCCAAACATACTAGTCCGAAGGTAATCTTAGAATTTGAGGATGACACTTGTTATAATGTCGAAAGAGATATGATAATTAATCTTAGAAAATAAGACTATAAGAGTTCATATGTGTTTGGAAGAAAAAACGGGTGGGGAAAGAAAATTGTATTTTCATCCACTTGATTGAATGTAGTGGGAGATGAAAGGAAAGAAAATATAAATAGCAAGAAATGGACGAAAATATTTGTAAAAAAAGAAGAAGAAAACTGCCATTATATTCTAGATTTAAAGCTACTATCTCAATTATTAAGGATCGAATTGTCATTTTCTTGCCCACACTTTTCTACATGTTCCTGGACATAAAAAAATGTGTTAGAATATAGCCTAACTTGACTCGTGTAAATTAATTTAAAAAATATAATAATATATAAATTAATTTTGAAATTAAATCAATTAAGATATTAATATGGTAAAATAGATCTAATTTTATTTTAATCTAGACATGTCAACTATAAGATATATAAAAAAATAATTAAAATGATGTTGATATAGTTATTTATTAAAGAATAGAAAAAGAGAGTTCACTTTATGAAAAGTTGGTTGATCCAATCTGATGATTTTAGTCCTTCATTAAGTCAAACTTGGGTCACATCTAACGATTATGCTTGGAATTTGCATTTTCCTCTTTCTTACTTTCCTTCTTTCCAAACAACATGTAATTGAGTCGCAAATAATATAATATCTTAATGTTGTAATATAATAATTCAGTTCAAACAATTTAGTTTGTTT